CCCTAAATTGATTGTAAGTATAAAACATCATCACATAATCAATATCGTATCATCATCCTCAAAAAATGGTCATTTTTGCTGTCCCAACCATATAAATCTTATGGGACCATAACCATATAACATCATATACCCTCTGGTTATTTAACATAGCCATGGAAAACGGCCGATTTGTAGATTGGTTACCTATTAAAAATGGTGATTTTCCATGGCTATGTTAGTCATAACCAGATGGTAACCATGTAAACAATGGCCATCATTGTCCCAGATTGGGATCCGACGCCAGGATGGCTCCATTTTGACTTGGAACCTCACAGGCGCCGCGATGCAAGACGCGTCGGATGGCGCCATGGAAACGTGGGGGCCCCATGGGCCCCATGGGCCCCTCGAGTCCCCGTGTCCCGAAGTTCAGGTTCGTCGGAGATGCTTGGGATACCTTGAGTAATTGGAGGAGATGGTAGGATACCTTAGTAATTGGAGGAGATTATATAGGAATATCATGGGAATATGATAGGATTTACCTTCCGGTCACTTGTGTGGCAGCGAACTGAAGAATCACCCATTTTCAAGAACGGTGAATTATCATACATCATGTAATTTCTACCGGCCATTTGTCCATAGCAAACTGTTAAATAACCACAGGGTAATTCCAACAAAGACACCAACAAGTACGAAACAACACATATTCTGGTTGATGGTTTGGAACATGGCTTTTATTTTCCATAATAAAAAAGGGATGTCATCCTTCCCATTGACGAACTCATATTTTTCAAGATGGTTATTGCACCACCAAGCAGTATTCAGATAGGAATTAACATCATTCCACTTCATTCTGCCAGCTTAACTGGACAAAACACGTTTCTTGGAGCTTGTCCGCCGTTTCTGGGGAAGAACGCCATGCTGAGGCCTCTTCAAAAGCCAGGTGACCCAGTGACACTGGGTGAGTCTTTAATTGTGTGGTGTTTTCAAAATATATGTAAAGTTAGGTATTAGTGGTGTTTCCACAATATTTTTTTGCAATGGGTCATATTTCCAGATATCTTCCATATATCAATTTATACTATATGCATACGAATATATGATATAAATATCTAATAGCATATGATTTATTAAGTCCCTTACCCTCTGGTAAACTAACAGTTTACGAACTGGAACATCACCGTCTTTAAAAATATTAAAAACGCTAAATTCACTATTTCTATGTGCCATGGCTTCAATAGCTGTAACAGTCATTACCAGAGGCTAAATCCCATATCATCCCATTCTTCACCATTGCTAACCCATTGTTAAACCATTAAAAATCACCATGAAAAATCACCATTTATAGTGGTTAAACCACCATTTTCCTATGGTTTTATAGTAGAATCACCATTAAATCACCATGAAAAATCACCATTTATAGTGGTTAAACCACCATTTTCCTATGGTTTTATAGTAGAATCACCATTAAATCACCATGAAAAATCACAATTTTTTTCGTAGAAATTCCCTTATGAGATCCCCATGATCCCTCCATAGCCCCTAGGTTGTCGGGCCACGCGGCGGGCGTCACGGCCCTGACGTTGCGCGACGAGTTGTTAGCCTCGGGCGCGGCGGATAACTCCACGAAGCTGTGGAACGTGGCGCGGAAGCCCGGGATCTGCCCACTTGGACAATATAACTATGATATCATTAGAACCCATACATATATAATATACATACTATATGTATATAATATGTATATATATATATACAATCATCTAATAATATATATATAATAATGGATAATAATAATAAGGGATAAGGATGGATGATAATGGATAAGAATGGCCAATGATAATATTATGATTGGCATTTTATGGATAATGGATATAGAAGCCATGTTTCATCCCATGTATAGGTGGGGAAATTCCATATAACTGGGTGGAAACCATTTACTAAGTGGGATGAACCCCCCAAGCAGGGGGCAAGGCAGGTGGATAGTGGATCCTAGGGGCATGAAAAGGTGAGGTTAGGTGGATTTAAAGCATATGCATATACCAGTAAGAATTAGTTCTTGAATGAGATATTGTAATGGGATATCATGGGGTTTCTTATGGGATAGATTATATAGAACTAACTTCAATCAATATATATCCAATGGGGATTTGTATACCCATTTGTAAAGATTCCCCCTATGGGATGAATGACCATAACCCATGGGAGTTCTTGTCATCCCACGTTCGGGTTCTGCGTTCTGCACCTTTGTTGGTCGACAATCCCCATGTTTCAACTCCTCTATATACTCAACCTGATGATCTTCCCTAAATTCAATGGTTACCCTCTGGTAAACTAACTAACATAACTATGGAAAATCACCATTTTGAAGCGGTAAATCCACTATAAATTACCATGTTCAATAGCTATGTTAGTCATTACCCGAGGGTACATGATTTCCGCTGAGTCCGCCCCATTTGTTGGCGCTCCATTTGTTGGCAAAATCACCAACTGACCATCCGGTGATTGCACAGTAAACCATGGATGTTTTTCCAGTTCGCAAAGGTTACAGCAATAGAAGCTCAGATCATCCATCACCTAGCAGTATGTATATTATACTATACACCATCATATACACAATGCAACATATTTACTACCATATCATCCACATTTATCTATCTATCTATATATATATACATACCATTCTCCCATTATATACCCATGATCTTATTACTGGATGTGTTGATATTCCCATCATATCCATGAAGGATATATAATGGGAGAATGATATAATTATGGTGATTAGAGTATATCCCATTTATAGTATGTACTTTTAACATCATATCACCCATACATAATTATCCCATTATATACCCATTATATACCCATTATATACCCATTATATACCCATTATATACCCATTATATCCCTATCATTATCCCATTATATACCCATTATATACAAATATTATATACCCATTATATACCCATTATATCCCTATCATTGTCCCATTATATACCCATTATATCCCTTATATCCCCATTATATCCCATTATATCAATAGTATATACCCATTATATACAAATATTATAATACCAGTTTATACCCATTATATACCCCATTATATACCCATTATTACCTTATTACCCATTTTAAACAAATATTATATACCCATCATATACCCATTATATACCCATCATATAGCCATTATATACCCATTATATACCCATTATATACCCATCATATACCCATCATATCCCCATTATATACCCATCATATACCCATTATATACCCATCATATACCCATTATATACCCATCATATAGCCATTATATACCCATTATATACCCATTATATACCCATTATTAGGCCCATTATATACCCATCATATACCCATTATATACCCATCATATACCCATTATATACCCATCATATAGCCATTATATACCCATTATATACCCATTATATACCCATCATATACCCATCATATACCCATTATATACCCATCATATACCCATTATATACCCATCATATACCCATTATATACCCATCATATACCCATTATATCCCATTATATCCCTATCATTATCCCATTATATACCCATTATATACCCATTATACTACCATTATTACCCATTATATCCCCTTATATACTTATATCCCCTTTATACAATATTATAGACCCCTTATATACCCTTAATCCCTATCATTATCCCATTATCATACCCTTATCACCCTATCATTATCCCATTATATAAATACCCATTAATACCCATTATATACCCCTTATATACCCTTATATACCCCTTATACTACCCATTATATACCCATTATATCCCATTATATACCCATTATATACAAATATTATATACCCAGTATATAACCCATTAGTATCTCTATCATTTTATCCATTATATACCATTATATACCCATTATATCCCATTATATCCCTTATATCCCCATTATATATTCACCCATTATACACCCATTTATTAACCCATTATATCCCTATCATTATCCATTATATACCCATTATATACCCATTATATACCCATTATATACCCATTATATACCCATTATATACCCATTATATACCCATTATATACCCATTATATACAAATATTATATACCCATTATATACCCATTATATCCCTATCATTATCCCATTATATACCCATTATATCCCTATCATTATCCCATTATATACCCATTATATACCCATTATATACCCATTATATACCCATTATATACCCATTATATACCCATTATATACCCATTATATACCCATTATATACCCATTATATACCCATTATATCCCTATCATTATCCCATTATATACCCATTATATACAAATATTATATACCCATTATATACCCATTATATACCCATTATATACCCATTATATACCCATTATATCCCTATCATTATCCCATTATATACCCATTATATACAAATAGTATATACCCATTATATACAAATATTATATACCAATTTTATACCCATTATATACCCATTATATCCCTTATATCCCCATTATATACCCATTATACACCCATTATATACCCATTATATACCCATTATATACCCTATCATTATCCCACTATATACCCATTATATACCCATTTATAGTTACATATCATGATCTTATTACTGTTACATCCCCATGCTATCACCGAGGCCACGGGCGAGTTGGTACGTCAGCTTCCCCATCCCAAGACCGTGCTTTGGCGTGAAAAGGAAAGGATTTCGGGTGGATGATCACGGGATGGGTGGAGCAGAATCATACTGAGAGGTAAATCACCATTTTGATAGGTAAACCATCTATAGAGGGGCCATCTATACCATGGCTATGTTAGTCATAACCAGAGGGTATATAAAATTATAGATATACCCTCTGGTAAATTAACAGTTCGACCATGGCAGTCATCGGGGTTGGAAGACTAGTTTCCATTAAAAATGGGTGATTTTCAGGGTCTATGTTAATTTACCAGGGGGTAATTTACAATATATTACTTTGATGATATCATGGTTTCACCGTGATAACAATTATATTTGATATAACTGTTATTATCATACTTATTATGATAGATAATAGCAATGATAACTAAATAGCAATGATTAATGGCTAACATTTACAATAATACTGCTACATTTACATTAACAACAATAACAACATGACAATGATAATGCAAATAAGAACAATGATGCTATATAATGGCACTTTAGTAACCCCCAAAAAGATAAAACAGTAAATTCCTTTTTAGAATAGTGATAACATTTTCTTAATAATAATAATGCTAATAGTAATGATCAAAGTTCACGATGATCATAGCAACAATAGCAATAGTCAGCTATGCATGCCAATAATAATTATATTGACACTTCTGGCAATAGGAAACTCATGTCGTCCATGTCTGGGAGATGGGTTTCGTAGATCCCATGCATTTCCAGCTGCGGAACTTGAGGTTTTTGGGCTTTCGATCTCAGGCCGGGTCTGTGACGCCGGGCCGGGTTGTGACGTTGGCGATTGGGTGTCTTCCGAATTGAAGGTCCAAGTACATGAACCAACTTCTGGCTGAAGTCGAAGTCTTTCCCACATGTTCAACAAGGCTTTTCTTGGGTCCCTAACCCCTGAGCCCCGCCAGGAAAACAACTGGCGAGTGCCTGTTGGGATGGTGTGGCGCGGATTTACGACTTGGAGAATGAAGTTGAGCCCATGGAACTTCGCGGGCATACAGGTGGTGGGGTGGTCATTCTGTTCCCAACTCGACAGAGCCCTTGGTGTTTTTCACTTCGCGGCTTCTTCAATTCCAAGTCTAAGGTTGTTATATGTTGTTATTTCCCCTGGTGGGTTTTGTACCAAGTCCACAATGGTTCGCACAATGAGTCCCCCCCCCAGGCGGCCTCTATGAGGCACCTTGGCAGCGCAGGATCTTTGCGAAGCAATCATCAAAGGATATAGTTCTGGTGTGAATTATATTATCATAATATCATAAGAGCCCCCAACTTTGATGATTATAATATAATCATTATCATTGTATTTATCAACATTGCATGGTTTCATTCAAAGATAAAGATACACATATTCACCTATTGACCAGCAAAGAAGCTGGATGCTGTCGGCGGTTTCATGGCTATTCCAGCTGTCAAGGATAGATGTACCCACATGGCTATGGAAAATGGCTCATTTATGGATGTACCCAGTAAAACTAGCGATTTTTTTTATAGCAATGTCAAATTACCAGAGGGTAATGTCAGGTTACAAGAGTCGCTAATCCCCAAAAAAATAGAGAAGTCCGTAAGAATTCCACAAATTTGGTGATGAAAATTTGGTGCCTTTCCTATCTTTTTGTTGGGACAAAATAGCCAGGCCGGCTGCCATGCCATGCCGCTTTCTGTCTGGCCGGATCCGAGGTATCACATAGCCCACTGGATCCCACACTATTGGCCACTGCCTCTGCTGACAGGATCGAAATTTTGCTGCGTGCGTGCTGAGGTCGTGCTTGGAAGCTGAGATCTTAATGACTCTTTATTGGATTTATTGCTAGAAAATACCTGAAAATACAATATATATATATCAATGTATATCATTCTCAAGTAATTTTTATATATTTTTGGACTTCTTGCAGTCTTGACTCTGCAACATACCTGAGTCTCAGTATGTCTCGTACCGCCATCAGCAATGTTTGTTGCTGTTTTCTGCCACTGCTCAATGGTCTTATTAGATTGATGCAATCTATACCACCCTGCCTGGTACGCGGCAACTCACATTCCTGGACCACTCCGAATAGAAACAACTTCAGACATGGCCGATGCGGCCATCAGAGGAATTGGTAGGAGGACGTCTGAATTGTGCTTCACATTGCCTTGCATATAAATTTGGAGTGATTCACCCAGTTGAAGCGAGCAACCATGCATTAATCATTAGTAGGACTTACAGTAGTTGGACTACAGGTTTGACTTACGTACCTATTTGCTGGTGACATGTGCATCCTTGTTCGTCAGGACTGTGCGAGTCTGGGACTTGAAGACAGGGCGGCAGCTGTGGAAGTTCATGCACAAGGCTGGGAGGGACCCTCAAACCCCCTAGGATGGCTATTCACCCTAAACAAAAGCCAAATGAAAGTATAGTAGTCTAGAAGAAGTGCAAGATATTCTATATTCTACACTTGGACTACAGCATTGTGGTATATGTGGATCACTTTTGCTCCATCTACACCTTTGTGATATGCTTATTTTTGCTGCTGAAAATCACCTTTTCCACTTTTCTCTGAACAAATCCAGTAATTTTGCGACGTTTTTCCCCAAATCAATGCATTGGTTGGGAACATCTTAACCGGAAACCATGGTTGGTTATTACTTGTTACTAGTAAGTACAGGGGTTTCCGATTCCAATTTTCTCATGATCTAGTTCTGGGACAACAAAAACATCTGCATGATGGGGAAAATTGGATTATGTCCCTTACATCAGAGCTTTCCATCGACATCTGACTCAACCGAAAAAAACAAAAATCTAGGACCAAGGACCAAGATTTCTAGAATTTTCCAGGACCTGCCAACAGTTTCGGCCCATTTTTCTGCCCAGAAATCCAGCCGTTTTTTTTTTTTTTCGCTGGTCAGGACCATGTCACAGCCCTGGACTGGTCGCCCGTGAACTTCACCTTGGCCACCGGCGGATGGGATCGGAGGCCGCCATGGGATGGGCTGTGGAAGCGTCCAATTTTTTGGGGGTGACCCATATGGAATTATATCATCAATATATGGGTCATAATATATTTTCCATATAGTGATATGATCCATATAGTTGATTATAATTATGATATATTCATTTTTTGGTGATATTTCATATAGTAATTATATCACCAATATATCCAATTCATATCAGCATATTCATATGAGCTCATAATGACCATTATAAATTTGGTGATATTATGTGATATTCAAAGAGTAATTGGTGAGATATGGTAACTTCTTGGTATACTTATGTTGGCGTTTAACTTTACTATACCATTTAAATCACTTTTGAGAGTTACCTATTTACTATAATATTTTACTAAACCTATTTAATCACTTTGGCGTTTTAGTCACTTTTTACTATACCATTTTACTATATCACTATATCACTGGTCAACCACAGGTGCTCCATCGGAAATCCCCCAGGTTCCGCATCTGGAAGATCCACGCGGAGGAAGTGGCGAAGTGCCGCGGCGGAGTCTGCGGAGACTTGGTGCCTTGCTTCATGGATCGGCCCGGCCGGCCGCAGATTCTGGTCATTTTTGGTATGAAGCCTCCAATTTTCATGAATTTTAGGGGTATCTAATTATAAACCATTAATATCCATTAGTATGAAGCCTCCAATTTTAGGTATCTGATTATGGTTACCATAGACATTTTAATGAAAGATGTTCAGGTGAACCTTGGAGATATCCTTAAGAACATTGCTGGAAAAAGATCGGATGGACATAGAATGACATACTATATATATATATAGATGTTTTCCGGATTGTTTTTCAGGCTCACCAATCTCCGTTGTTTCTTTCAGAGCTTGGTTCTATTTTGCTCCCTAAGAACTGCAAAACCATGGGCCCCTAGGTACCACAAATGGTCCACAAAGTTAATCTTTTTAGCCTCGCAAGTTTCATGTTGTTGCATCCTGTCGCTCAAAATGTCTTTGTCAAACAAAAAGGACCTTTCTTTGGAACGGTTCCGAACCGATCCTTTAACACTTTTTTGTTGTGTTCCATACTGCCAAAAGCTATTTCCAAGGATTTTTCGAAGACTACTCCAACAAATCCCATGTTTTTCCATGTTTTCTCCAGCTTTTCCCGGAGCACGTGGCGCGGCATCCGCAGCTGCTGTGGTCGGTGGCCTTTGCGCCCGAAGGGCGGCAGGTGGCCGCCTGCCATGGTGCCGTGGGGCAGTCGCCTGCGGTACCTCGGTCGTTGGCAAAATCGCTGCACAGAAACAAGGTGAATCGCTATACATAACTATACATAACTATGGTAATGCATAATAAACTAGGTGAATTCTATGGTTTATGGATGTTTATGGGGAGAGCGAAGTAGTTCAATCGAGGCAATGGGTTGATAAACCAACCAACCCAATCGGGGGGCCTTTTTTTTGCACCATGACACACCTGTTTTTTTGGGAAACGTTTGAGATTTAACATGATTGGCAACATTTGAGAACATTCATACCCACAGAATGATGATGATGATGATGATGATGATGATGATGATGATGATGATGATGATGTTTCTGATGATGATGATGATGATGATGACGATGATGTTGATGTTTCTGATGATGATTGATGATGATTCATGATGATTGATGATGATAGGTCTTGTTGTTTTTCTTGGGCCGGATTTTCAGAGAAACCCAGAGCAATTTATGGTGGTCGCAACAAGAACCGATAGGGGATGGATGAGAAGTGCTGACTGAATGCTTTGCCTAAAAAAACAAAATTGGGGATAAACAAGTCAGCCATTGGAAGCTGGAAGAACGGGATCAATAAAATTTGGAAGGGATATCGGATATCAAAGCTAGATGAATGTCAATATGAGTGCAAAGGACAACAGTTTTATATCAAAGTGGATTTGGAATTGTACCATGTAACAAAGATTCAGCAAAGATCCATGGAGATCTATCCTCTTGACCAAAGTGAGATGTGTCACCATTCCATCATCCACGAGAGAACTCCGCACCGATGTATTTGAACATCGTAGTGTACCATTGGTTTGCAGCAAAACAAAACAAGCACCGGAACTTTCCATTTCAACAATTTTGAGATCTTCACATCTTTTGGGATAATTGATTCATAGATCTATATTTATTATAATATTTCAACAATACAATAAATATTTGAATCCAGCAGTTTCCCCAAACGGTTTTTCCCCAAACGGGCACCTCCTCCTCTGTCGACCCAGGTGGTGGTCTACGAGGTCTCCACCGGGGAGAGGCTCCGGCGCTTGGGGCGACACAAAGATACGCCGCTGGCCTTGGGATTTTCGCCCTCCGGGGAATATCTGGAGCCTCGGCCGCTGACTCTTGGGGGGATGGGTTGGTGAGGGGTTTGGCCGGGATGTTGGTTGATGAATGTTGATGAAACCATGAAGTATTAGTATCTATTAGTTATATCCTCCTAATCAACCCAAATTCTTAGTCACTTGTAGGTGACGTGATGGGTGTGAAATGAGGGATGAAATGGGGGATGAAATGGGAATAGAGACCTTGGGTGTGTCTGAAAATGGATGAAATAGGGGATTTACAAATAGATGGCATGATGGCAATTTCAAGATTGAAACCCTTGAGTACCTTAATTTCTTAATGTTTCCATTTGTGTTGCTTCAAAGCTTCAAAGGTGGATCTGCGAGAAACCGAAGACCCCCCCCAGGTCGTCGTTCCGCAAAGGTGTCTGCTGGCATGGACCGCAAAGTCTTGATTTATTCGGCGACGGAGCACTTGGATGACATGCCGCTGGGTGATAAGGACGATGCCGAAGAGAGCCACTGGGCTTGAGAGTTTGGACTCTGCAGACTCCCAAACCATGTGACCTACATGTGACCCCCTACAGATGTAGGATGTGGTTGACCATGTCCTCAAAACGCCCGTCTTGTAATACGTGATGATTTTGTTTTCAAGTGCTTATGGATGATGTAAAAAGTAAAACTGCAGAAACTCCAAGCGGTTTGAACAGCGTACTAGCGTATCAATACATACATTGAGTATATAATTTCAGGGAAAGTTCTCATTTCTGGTGGCTCACCCTATCTCATGATTCAAATCCCAAAAAATCTCAGATTGTATATCCTCTTTTTAGATCCTCGTGCTGAGGATTGAACTGGCTGCACGATCTGGAAGATCTGCGGGGTGGGAGTCGAAATGTCTGCTGGCCGAGACCAAGAGTTGTTTCTTTCGAGTAAACATCTGAAAAAAGATGGATTTAAGTAGGATTAGTATGCAATTAGCGGGGTTTTGGCAGGACTTTATTTTTATAGCTCACCACTAGATTTTGGTAGGGGGTGCTATAAGTTGTATTTTATCTACCCAATGGTGTGGGATAGAAGTGAAACGATATGTAGGGGATAGACATGATAGAAATGGTGCGCATAGCCACCATTTTTCAAAGGGCCAATTGATGGGAGTTAGAAGTAATATGTTAGGGAATGGACGTGATACCAAGAGAAAGAAACAGAAATGATAGAGACAATACTGATAGCTGGAACGGGACACCATTGATGGAACCAACAAACAACGGAGACATTTCGAAGGAAGTTGCACTTTGCGAACTGAAACTCAGGCAAGTAGCATTGCAGATCTTGCACGGGAATTGGCCCGCATCTCAGTTTTCTTTCACCGGCAGCAGAGGAAATCAAAATTTGAAACAGATGAGTTTGCCAAAAGGAACACTGGAGGCAAGAGTTGGGAGATTTATTTGCAGTGTCCTGAGACCAAAAACTATACCTTCTTGTGATCAACTATGGCAAGCTGGAAATTCCCGCAGTTCGACAAATTTTCGCAGCTATAAACCCATTTATCAGGGATTTCCCATATTTTTCGATGGTTTTTCCATTGCTTAGAATGTGGGTAAAAACAATGTCATAAACCATCCCCCAGTCATCACCACAAATAGGTGGTATGAACATGTATAAACTATTCCCAGTCATGGGTGGTAAACATGACATTGCCCTTTCCTGCGTTCGGGGATTTCCCGCAACGCGGGTGGCTGTGGACCCAGTGAACTGGATCTGAGCCTCAGGCCCGTCGGAACCGCTCAAAGACCAGAGGTGCGCGGCTGTGCCGGCTGCAATGCCTAGCTGTTTGTGTGGGTTTCCTCGGTGGGAAAGATGTAAAGATTCACATCATCCGAATTTTCCATGATGTCCAAGGTTGGCAATCATGAAAATCCTCCTTTCTGCAAGGTTTTCAAGGTTTCCAGATTGGCCATGATTGAGAATCAATGGGAAACCTCACGACAAGTTACGGAGAACCTCACTGAGTCGGGTATGTAAAGACACAGAATATCCCAAATGATAAACGATTTATGATGAATTATGCCAGCCCAAAGGGGACTGGAGAATCTTTTGGTCTGGTGCATCAACGATATATAATGTCAGTATTTTGCACTAGGATCCACCATCCCCAAGTTTTTTCAATTTTTCTGGTATAAACCATCAGTCCATATGGATGATTTATGGCATTGCTTTACCAATTTGCCATAAATGATCATAAATGGTTGGTATCAATCCATATGGGTGGTTTATTGCTTCACCAACATGACAACTTATATACTCCACAGAGGTGCCCTTCCGTCAGGCTCCAAGTCCGGCTCTTTCCGTGCCATGCCTGGCGTGGCGTTCCTGTCCCTTGGATGGCGCTGGTTGCTACCCGTCCGTTGTGCAAAAGCATAAAAACTCCAAGACGTAAGAAACAAAGAATCTTGAACCCATCATCCCAGAGTTAGTAGAAACCTTTAGATCCAACTGCCATTTTCAACCGATGAACAACTTCCGACCTTTCTGTTTTTTTTCGAGCCATCTGAGGTGATAATTTTTTGCCGGCGACGAAGTGGCCGAAATGGCTGGCTCGCGACCGGTTTGTAGGAGATCCCTTGGCTGACTGGTTCCTTTCTGCTGGCGACCTGAAAAGCGGATGTGGTGTGGAGGGTCCAGGTGGCGAAAAAAAGGTGGAGAAGATGTTTTGGACCCATTGATTTTCACACTTGATTTTTTTGCGACATTTGAACACATTGAATGATTTTCCAGAGATTTGGGCATCCTGCCACCCCCAAATCTCAAGCCAAAAGGGGTGGCGCTAGATATAGTTTTCTTTCCTGGCGGTTTGTTTTTTTAAATCTATAGTTACCTCTCAAAAATAACCAGGACATAGTTAGATTACCATGTTACCCTCTGGTAATTTAACATAGCTATTGAAAATGGCCATAGAAATAGTGGATTTTCCCATCAAAAATGGTGATTTTCTATAGTTATGTTAGTTTACCAGAAGGTACCTTATCTGTCGTTACCTTATCAATTTTTACCTCATCATTACACCCGCCCCGGCTGCGATGGAGTCCAAGGTGACGTGGGCTGCAGGTCTTTTTTTTGGGATGGACGTAGCGCGTTCTACGATGCCGAGTTGATCAAATCCTCCGAATTTTACTGAAACTCTTAGATTTTCATAGAAAAACATATGCAAACAGTTGAAACTCCAAGAATTTCATGATATGTCATACACACATATACAAAAAACATCAAAAAACTGTTTGTTACAACAACCATGACGACGATGTTGCAGGTTACCAGGCTGCATGACATGTGGATTTTGTGATCGTCCTGATCACCTTCGTGACCGCAAAACGACACTTGGAAAATGGTGGCAGGATTTCCCTCACGATTTCCATCCGCGACATTCAAGATTTTGGGGTACCATATGTCAGCGATGTTCAATCTTGTTGTGGAGACGGTGGAGACCTTAATCCTTTGAATATATTTGAATATATTGGATTAAGTTATACTTGAATATCTTTGAATAAAGTAAACTTTTCGATGCTATACATTGACTGAGACAAACATATCTGGTAGGTGCCTGATATTTCAAACCACCAGACTCATATGTGGGAAAAGGCTAGCGGCGATAGCCCAACTTTTGATCCAAATTCTCTTCATTAGCACAGGAAGCAACACAAATCGGACAATCTCATTCCTCGAACAGCAAAATTCTTGATCCAATCTGTGGCCTGAAAATTACTAGAGGTGGCAGCAGGAGTGCCAATCATCCCATTTTGGCAGCTGTTTCTTGCTCCAAAACTACCGTTGCTTTTCCAAAAATTCTGATGATGTTGATCCGCAGTCGCTTGACGATGTGCGGAGTGGGGTGGTTCCTGGAATCCGCGCGACATGCCTTAAGAAATCCCCAAAAAACCGGGTCAATGGTGTTGAGTTACTCAATTCATGTATATTCATGCAGGTTCTATTTTCATGGGGAATGTGAGGATCAATCAGTGCATTGCATGGTACTGGGTTCATGTTGTTTCTTGTCTCGGGTCCCCGGAAGTTGTCTCAGGTCGGTGTGCCGTGGGGAAGTGTGTATAAAGGATATATATGATATTATTATTCCATTGGGTCATTGCTTATTGTAAGACCACAAAACGCATAGGCACGCTGAACTTCACCTACATGAATCTACAATTTGTAGTCATAAACCTTCTTATTGTTTGTTTGTCCATTGCAGGGCACACAACGCATGGGCACACTGGTTGTCATAAACGTGTTTGTTTATTATGAGTATACTTGGTTTGATACTTGTGACATCCAAACGCAGTGGCATGCTCGGTCAAAGAGAATGTGTGGCCCTGGGTATTTCAATGATTTTGTGCAGCACAACAGATCTTGTGCCAACATCGGTGTGCCTGCCATTTGGTGCTAGTGGGTTCAAGTTTGGGAGCTGGGTCGATGTTGTAACAAGTGCCGATGACAAGATCTTGTGCCAAATCGTGGTGTGCCTATGGGGAATGGGGAGAGGCCCACATGGGCAGCGCCTATGACTTTAACTTACTGGTGTATTTTTTGGCACTTCGCATAGGTGCACGATACTTACCTGGCTATCACGGTCCCTTTGTCTCCCCTCTGTCTCCCTTACTCGCCCTTTGTCTCCTCTTCTGTCTCCGTTTGCTCTTGCCTGCAGCTGCTGCTTGGCTTGGTTTTCTCTTCTGCTCCACCGCTGAAAGCTCTTGAGTTTTACTGTTCTGAAAAGACTGCGAAAGCGTGTGGCTACCAAAGAGTATGTCAGGAGACTTAGGGGGTCAGTCTCCCAAAATTTGATTTCGAACCTCGTTTGGACCTCGTTTGCACCTCGTTCGGACCTCGTTTAAATTGCAGCCAGTCAAAACCCAGCCCGGAGAGGTTTTGGAAAGGCTTTGCAATGGTTTGCTGCTTAGTCTGCTGCTGCTGCTGCTGTTGTTGCTTGTGCTGCTGCTTCTGGGCAAGGCGCGGTTTTTGAGCGGAGAACGAAGAGATTTGTGAAAGGGCTGGAAGCTGTGCGGAAGAAACCAAAAGCATAAGAAGATTACCTGAAAAAAATCGATCCGATCAGCGTTGTGCCATGGGGAAGTGGATGAAAGGGTTGATTGGCATGAAGTAGAATTTGTCATAGAAACCATAGGAATGTGACGTCGATCGCATCCAAGTTTGTATGTTGGAAATGCCATGAAACTTGGTGTGCCATGTGGAGGATGATAGTTCTGACTGTTCAAACAGGAATATGGTTGCCAACTTTTGGTTAACAAGCTTACATTAACCGCATAGTATTGCCTGCTTCAGAGTTAGTCCACTTTGACCGTCGGTGTGCCAATGGGATTTCCACCTGGCGGAAGATTATTGATGTCTGGCGTAAGCTAGGTGCCATGCGGCTGGCGCAAGTTCTAGTAAATGGCGTAGGATCACGCCGGGGCTCGGGTCAGAGATGCTTTGCACGACTTATTTCGCACTAGGTTGCCATTGGGAAACAGATAATTGAAGTACCGAAATCAAACGAATCCATGTCCAGAGTCATGACAAGAAAACGGGGCGTGTGCTGCAGAATTGGCTTCTTTTCTCATTTGGATGGAAAGCAGCTGTTTTGCTGTCAATGCGTGTGTGCCAATGGCGGTTGCTAACTTTCAACATGGTTTTATCACCGAAGGAGATGGTATTAAATATGTGTTTCCCAATGGCACGGACACATTTTAACTACATGGTTTGCCAAACCAACGATGGCGTGGTACCAGTGTGCCAATAGGATTTGGTCCCTGGGGTAACTTCCGGTTTGCCTTCCCTTTTGAGGCTCCAAGTCAATCAAACCATGCGTTTCTTGAAACATGGCCGATCCAACTGTGATCCGGGGCCCTGGCCCTAGGTGCTCTGCTGTTGGCCATGGCTATGGCAGGGCGGCTGAACCAAAATGTCTTTGAGGAAGGCGCCTGCCTTGGATATCTTGGATCTGGTGACCAGATTTTCTTATTGAAATGACCATTCCATATGATTTCATACAAAAATTTTCCCCTTAGAAAGCCATGGTATACCCATTGAAATCGCCATTTTTCATGGTGAAATGGTTAAGAGATAGTTTCCACCATTTCTAGAGGGGTTCCCCAAATCACCATGATAGCCTCTGGTAATCTGACATGGCTTTCTGGAAAATCTTCTATTTTTTCATTGAAATGACCATCCATAGGGGGAGGTACCTCTTATAAATCCCGGAACAAAAAGTGAGAACACCATGTACTATCCGGTAATCAGCTCCATGGTTTGCTGGAAAATCCACCTTTTATAGTTCGATCCTTTCCCAGCTACAACCACCATTTAGTTTGGGGCTTTCCCAGCCAGCTATGTTTGATTACCGAAGGGTATGACAAGCTTCAGATTTTACTTTTCAGCAACAGGGATGATCGAATTCTTTGAAACTAGGATGGGAAAACCCGATTTAGTTCTAAGAATTAAGCAGCGATGAGTGTGGATTCCTGAAAATGGATGGCCTTTAGACCAAATAATCCCAGTTTTCACCTGTATCCAGTTTTTGGTGGCAAAACTGGGTTTCTTTGTGAAGAGGGAGGGATTTTCTTGTTGAAAGATGTAGTAGAAACTCAATGGATCATGATGTGGGTATGGCTGAAGACATGCTGAAGATATTTTAATAAATCGATCTTCCCCATGTAAAAAAGATGTTGGCGCCACCCCCAATTCCAGGGTTTGTTTTTTTTCAAGGCCCTTCTGTCAAAATTGGACAGTTCCATTTGTCAAAATGCGTGGTTTCAAATTGGCAGTGTGGTCCCAAAAAAAACCAGGGTATCGGGTATAGGTACAGTGCACGAACTTGCTGCACAGAGAACTAACAACTGGGTGGTGGTTTGGAATATGTGTTATTTTCCAGCCATCAATATGGGACGATGACGCCGATTGAAAAGGCAAAATTCCCTGCGGCTGCAACAACAAGGCATCGGCTGAGGGATCTGAAGCACTGCTACATGCCGGTGAAAGCAGACATAACGTGAGCTTCTTGACGAGTTGTGACTTGAAATTGTGTGTATATCTTTCATCATCTTTCGGTCTCTTGATTTTTTTTGAGCCCTTGAAATTCTTGGGATATTTGATGCTTTCCTGATGTTTCTCTCAGAAACATCTCCCCTTCACATCTGCAGATATCCGCAGTATCCCTTATTCTCCTAGTATTTTTCTCCACTTTGCGTGGCAGTCACGGAGATTCAGTGACGCAGGTGGGTCTCCTGGCGCCCAAAGAAAAGCTGGAGGGAATTGACATCGCACCGGACACCCGCATGCATCACTGACGAGTCTATGTGGATACGATGGGATATAAATATAAATATATATATTTATATACATACAGGGGTTCACCAAAACATAGGAAATTTGTTCAAGGATATTACATAGATTATATTTAGGAATTTCGATATTAATTTGCAGAATTCCAGCTTTTCTGTCTATTTTGGGTTGCTACAACAGGATGTAACAGGATATAACCAACAATGTGTGATGGTGTAGGTTTGTCCG